TATATGTGTGTATATACGTATGCACATGTATATGTATATATCATATTAAAATGTGATGACTGAAAAAAACATATACATAGGTTGTGCTGAAAGTAATGCCTCCTGTTTATTTCCATGGAAATTGCAACAATTAAAAGAGCATAATAATACTACTTGATAGAGCAAATTCTCAGCTACAAAACATTATTTTTCAACTGCTCATCACCATTAGCTATGCATTTTCACCAGCAATGAACCTGAGCCTGCATGCCATGTTCATAACAATCTGCACCAGCAGAAGTGACCCACTGTTGCTATCACCACTGCTGAAATGCACTACCCACAGCCTCACTGTGCTCACATCCACTGCCTGGTCTCCATCAACATTCAGTATCAATGAATGTCAATGAGTGCCATTTTTTCTGCATGGAGGAATTCGGTGACAAACATCTGTCACAAGGAAACAAAATGTAATCTAATGTTGGTGGAAAGGTTCAGCCTCTACTGCCATACCACCAAAATATGCCTCTGAAATCAGTCATCATCATAGAATATGTGGCATTACTTTTGGAGCAACCTGTGTGTATGTGTGTGCATGTTTGTGCATAAAAATCACACTTTCATCTATTGTTTTTCATGAATTGGCTATTTCATGTTACGTGTGGTATGTTAGGAAATATCTCACACACATACCAGATAATTTCCTTGTCAGGATCACTGTTGAGGAAATATCCCTATGTTTTTCAGCACTTCTTTTTATTATTTGGTGAAAGAGCAGAGTGAATGAACCCATGCTCCCAGCAGAGCTGCCTGGGTGGGATGGATGTCACAAACAGCCTCCTCTTGGATGCTGCCATGCACCAGAACTTTAAAACTGTTTATCTTTTACTTTCCGAGAGGTACTTTCTCTTACTGCACACAAGATATCCTGCATAAAGAGCATGGCCTGGATAGGTCAAGGCTTATGTGAGGTATAACCGTACCTAATTTCTTTTTTTCTCCTGCTCACACAAACTATCCTCTGAGGCTCTTCTTTTAATGTCATTTGTGCTTTGGTTTATACAGCACACTTTCCCCATGAGGCCATATTTTACAGCGCCCTACCCTAGTGATGGATTACTTATTCTCCGGTCCTTGCAGTACCAGATCAAATGTGGGTAACCAAGAGGGGTGGCAACACAGAGCTGTGGTGGGACAGTGGTAGTGCTGAAGAGGAAAAATGTTACTTACGTCTTATTTTTCTGAAAGCTGCTATTCTGTGACAGCTGGGGAAGAGATGACTGCACAAAACTCAGAGACTAACCAAAGGACAAGTGGGAAGGGAGGAGACCGTTTCCCTATTGTTAAAGAGCTGTCCCTGTATTAGAGTGTCTCCCATTAAGGAAACTGTTTTGCTTTTGGCTTCCACGGATACTCCTGTAACTCAACAACTACTTACAGCTGTAAAAAAGTAACCACTGAAGACTCAGAATCACAGAATCACAGAATCGCAGAATCGTAGGGGTTGGAAGGGACCTCCAGAGATCATGGAGTCCAACCCCCCTGCCAAAGCAGGTTCCCTACAGCAGGTCGCACAGGTAGGCATCCAGGCAGGTCTTGAACATCTCCAGAGAAGGAGACTCCACCACCTCCCTGGGCAGCCTGTTCCAGTGCTCCGTCACCTCACTGTAAAGAAGTTCCTTTGCACATTTGTGCAGAACTTCCTATGCTGCAGTTTCCGGCCGTTTTCCCTTGTCCTGTCTCCACTCACCACTGAAAAGAGTCCGTCCTCGCCACTCTGCCCCCCACACCTTGGATACTTATAGACCTGGATCAGGTCCCCTCTCAGTCTTCTTTTCTCAAGGCTGAACAGACCCAGTTCACTCAGCCTTTCCTCGTAGGAGAGATGCTCCAGGCCCTTCACCATCTTTGTGGCCCTCCGCTGGACTCTTTCCAAGAGATCCCTGTCTTTTTTGTACTGGGGAGCCCAGAACTGGACGCAGTACTCCAGATGAGGCCTTACCAGGGCAGAGTAGAGGGGGAGGATCAGCTCCCTCGACCTGCTGGCCACGCTCTTTTTAATGCACCCCAGGATGCCATTGGCCCTCTTGGCCACAAGGGCACACTGCTGGCTCATGGCCAACCTGTCGTCCACCAGGACACCCAGGACCCTCCCCGCAGAGCTCCCTCCAGCAGCTCATCCCCTGACCTGTACTGGTGCATGCAATTATTCCTCCCCAGATGCAAGACTCTACACTTGCTTTTGTTAAACCTCATCTGTTTTTTTTCTGCCCAGGATGACTCCAATCATCTGACTCACCAAAGGTGAGTGTGAGAAATGATACATGAAAAATCCATGACATCAGTATCACTTCCAGAGTTAACTTCTTCTGGTGTGTTTCAGATAGAGGCAAAAATGGCAGCTTTGAACTTTGATCTTCTTACATGTCATTAGATAAAGAGACAAGAATCCTAGGTTAAAATAAAGCATCCTTCTAACATACTCTTTAAGTTCATCTTTAGAAGAAACAAAACAAAGCCAGGAAGTTTTTCAGTCATAAATCAAAAACCTTCTCACGTCACATTAAGTCTTCGTGCCAGAGTTTATTTTACACATAAATACACACATATGCTCTGCCTGAACACCCGCAATTGCTGGAAAACAGATTCTGAAGAATTAAAACAGGGTGTAGGACCTGTCAGTAGAGCTTGGCTAATAAAAACTGCTTTTTCAGTTCATTGGCAGTGCTGAAAGAACCGCAATGCAGTTTGTTTCAGGTTGCCCCAAAAAGAGAATATTCAGTGTTTTGGATGAAGAGTGAAAAAAAAATCATTCGTAGATGAAAAAAAGGGCTCATTTTGCCTGGAAACCAATGTTTCAAATACTTCAGTGAATGCTGGAACACTGCTTTCAGTCATAAAACCATTTCATTTCATTTTAAAAATATCAACATTACAATATTTTTTCACTTTGTCAGAGGTTTTATGGATTTATTTTTCCCTAATTGGACCGATTAGACAATGTTGAAAATCTATCTATACTTATTTTTGTCAATATCTGTCAGCATTTTCTGGGAAAGTAAATTCCATCTTTCTGTCAAGCCAGAAACCACAATTTTCTACCTGCTTCTAATTTGTGTCACGGGTGTGATTCACCAATGACATGCAACTGTTATGAAATTACCAAGAATTCTCAGTCTTGCGGCAGAGTTCTAGTTTTTTATCCTTTTAAGGTAATCTTGTATTGAATTAAGAAAGAAGACACTGGGCTGTGCTATCTCCTTGGGGGATACCAGGCACAGAAAGGTTTTCCTCCAAAATATCAACTTAATCTCCACCAAAGATACATGAACTGTGGAACCTACTACAACTTCATGGCATCAATAAGCTTGTAAAGCCCAAGTGAACAAGTTCTTGGACGTCGTAATCAGCTCATGCTTTTAATGGCTGGAATTTTTCTATCTCTGAATGGATTCTTATCTAAAATACATTATGCAGTTCAGGAGAAAGCTATTGAAAATGCATAATACATGCTATTTTTTATTGAAACATTTTAGTTGTGGCACATATTCCAAGTTATTTGCTCTATGAGGATCTCTGCTAAAATCTAATTTGACCCTAGTAACATTTCCTTTTTATTTCATTTTTAATTTGCAGTGTATATAACTGATAAAAATGCAGAAGTTTCCTGTCTGTGACAGTGTGGCATTTGAGAGCCAGGGGGAATGGAAGTTTCATATACTGGGTAATGAATATATCCTTCAGCTTCATATTTCTTTCTGACATATAAATACACTTCACAGGGTGAGTCCCAGTTGAAGACTGGGCCCTTGAGTGTTTCCTCTGCATGAGATGCTGTGAAGCGCAATAGTTGTAATGTAATAACAAAGCAAAATCACTAAGCCTGGAGCAACCACAGTGTTTCATAACCCAGGCTATGAAGACTGTGATGATGCCAGTGCTGTCAAAGCTGGAGGTTGCATCTCAAACAATGGAGATAAGGTCTTTGTGAGAGTCAGCAATTATGCTAAATAGAATAACTGAGATACTTGTGTGTTTGTTCTTTTTGACAAGGTCTTTTGTATGACTAGGAAGCCCACAGTGCTTTTTGTTTCTCAGTAATGTCCCACAGGAACAGCACACTGGACTCTGTGGAGGAGGATTTTTGGAGGGTTACTCAAAGCGCTTTTTTGGCTGGAGGTTTTGCACAGCCCCAGGAGACAAGCACAGAGGAGGGCATGGAAAAGCAACAGACATTAAAAGCACTATCACATGTTCCTTTTCCATTCTCAGAAACCCTGGTAGCGTGCACTGCCCTGCAAGGAAGCAGTCACGAGGATGGGGGCAGAGGAAAGACTTTTGGTTCATCGAGGAAATCACTTCCCTCTGTCCCTCTCCATGGCAGACCCTCTAAGGGGATCTGAAGGGATACATATTTCCAGAGAGATGTGATATTGGTAAAATACAATGCCTTGTGCTACTTGACACACATAGCAGGCACAAGCATTAAATCATAACCACTGACGGGAAGGACATTTCTACCCTGCATAGGATCATCTGTTTGATTCTGCAGATTTACTACTAAGCCAACAGGGGTCTTGTGGAAAGGTCTGAATGTTCTGGTATGAGTGGTGGGGAAGGTTTACACCTGTGTTGCTCTGGACCAGTTTCAGAGGGCAGTGTTACTCTCTGATGTGATCACACTGTGGGCTACAGCTACTAAGAAAACAGGGATGTTCAACATTAGCTTGTTGAAAAGACTAGACAACAAATTAATTGAAATTAAATTATAAAGGAGCTTGTTTAATTTCCTGTTACTTATTTTCATTCTGTTGCTGCCTGCAGGTACCACCAAAATGCCAGCTATCTGATGGAGTTGACGCATTAGTGGTAAAATTACTGGCAGTGACCCCATGGTCGGAGAGTGCGGAAAACAAGAACAGAGAGCACCCACTGCAGAGAGGCAGTTTACATACATACATACGTATCTATCTATCTATCTATCTATCTATCTATCTATATCTGCTTTGCAGCTGTTTTTCATGCTTTGGCGGCACATATACTAACACCAAACTGATACAAAGAAGATTATATGGACCCTGCACAAGGACGACAGGTAAATTCATGAAGTATTCCATTTTTTTTTCCAGATCATGTGACATGTGTGGGATTACCAGAGGATCAGACAGAGATTTGGCTTGAACAACTTCATCTCCTTCTACAACCGAGTGATCTAGCGGATGAAGGAAAGGCTGTAGACATAATCTACCTAGACTTCAGTAAAGTCTTGTCTCTGTCTCCAACGGTATTCTGGAGAAGCCAGCAGCCCATGGCTTGGGCAAGTGTACTTTTTGCCAGGTAAAAAACCGACTGGAGGGCCAGGCCCAGGGAGTGACGATGAATGGAGTCAAATTCAACTGGCAACCAGTCACAAGTGGTGTTCCCTGTAGGTCAGTACTGGATCTGGCCCAGTTCAATATCGTTATTGACCATCTGGAGTTTGGGTGCATGCTCAGTAAGTTTGCAGATGACACCAAGTTGGCTGGAAGTGTCGATCTGCCTGGGGGAAGGAAGGCTCTACAGAGGGATCTGGACAGGCTGGATAGCTGGGCTGAGTGAATGAATTTCAAGAAGACCAAACACTGAGTCCTGCGCTTTGGCCACAACAACCCCAGGCAATGCTACAGGCTTGGGGCTGAGTGGCTGGAAGACTGCATAGAGAAATGGACCTGGGGTTGTTGGTTGATGCTCAGCTGAACATGAGCCAGCAGTGTGCCCAGGTGGCCAAGAAGGCCATGGCATCCTGGCTTGTATCAGAAATAGTGTAGTCAGAAGTACCAGGGAGGGGATCGCCTTCCTGTGCTCTGCAGTGGTGAAGCTGTACCTCAAGTACTATGTTCAGTTTTGGGCCCCTCACCAGAAAAAGGGCATTGAGGCCCTGGAGCATGTCCAGAGAAGGGCAACAGAGCTCTAAAGAGTCTGAAGCTCAAATCTCATGGTGAGCAGCTGAGCGAACTTGGATTGTTTAGTCTGGAAAAGAGGGACTCAGGGAAGACCTTATCATTTTCTACAACTACCATAAAGGAGGCTGTGGTGAGGTGAGGATCAGCCTCTTTTCTGAGGTAACAGTGATAGGATGAGAGAGAATGGCCTCAAGTTATGCTGGGGGAAGTTCAGATTGGAACCTTCTCAGAAAGGGTGGTGATGCATTGGAACAGGCTGCCCAGGGATGTGCTGGGGTCACTGCTCTTGGAGGTAATCAAGAGATGTGCAGATGTGGCACTGAGAGACATGGGCAGTTGGCATGGTGGCAATGGGCTAAAGGTTCAACTAGATGATCTTGTTGGTCTTTTCCAACCTTGTTGATTCTATGATTCTATGAAAATACTATGGTATAAAATAATCCTAGACACAGCTTTGGTGCATTGTCTTCACCTTGGACTGAGAGAGACTATTCCTGACATTGCTTAGTGCAGTTTGTTTTTTAATTTCATGGGTAACGTTGTGCAGAATGAAATCCTGAGCCTGTAAACAGGACCTATTGTACTGTAATGAGTGTGCTGGAGACCTCTGGGGGCTGTAGCGCCTTTCAGTGTGGATGAAATCTTGAAATGCTTTATCAAAATCCTTATTCTGTAAGAAGTATAAGGGAAAGAAGTGAGTGGGTGAGGGTTACTTGAAAGACATCAGAAAAGCAGCTATGGTACACTGTGCAAATAAGAACACCACTGGATGTATCAATCTGAATGCCAGAACATCAAGTTGTATGTGTATACATGTATATATATTGATGCACTTTTTATTAAGTAAAGTGAGATTTTGGTTTTCTGAAGACAAGTAGGCATATTTTGACCATGGCGAGAGATACCATTCCCTTTCACCTCCTGAAACCAACAGGACTCAGCAGAGGCAACCCCAGCAAGTATGGAAACAGGCCAGTGGTGAACGGGTGAGGCAGGTAACCCCATCCTCACCCTCCAAACCAGTTTCTGTCTATATAAAGAAATGTCTGAAGAAGAGTGGGAATCAACCTGCTTCTAGTGCCAAACCTTCTCAATTGACTGGATTATCTCTTTTTATGAATCTAACCCATCTGCAGACCCAGAGCCAGAAGGGATTTTCTACTGTCTTTTCTCTTCCTTGTGGTGGAATATGTCTGCCCAGCCCCCCAGGGTGCTGGAAGGAGGACAGACAGGCAGCTGGATCCTGTCCTTCCCACCCCTCATGTCCAAAGCCCACTTCCACAGTACATGCTGCCAGTGAGCATCATTCACTAACATACACAGCATGGTGCGATGTCTCCTTTGCTCCTTCCACCAGTGATGTGAGCTCAAAGCTGGTAAGTCTGATGCATTTGGATCTTGGTCAAGGAGAGGGTGGGACTGCAAAACTGTAAACATTGAGGGTGGGCAGATGGCCTGGGAGACCATCAGGGCTGTTCCCGGCTCTGAAGCTCTGAGTGAATCTGGGTCACCTCTGCAGCCTGCTCATTCCCAAGCATGTTGGGACCACCTCCCTGCTGGAGTGCTCCAACTCTCCCAGAGCTTCCCAGAGCAGCCAGCAACCTTGTGAATTTCAGCATTTAATATTGTTCTAATGAGTGGTTACAGCGGAACTCTTTTCTAGCCTAAACAAATTATTCCTTCTGCTTTTTCCTCTGTGCTCCAGCCCCTTGCAGTTCCTCTCTACCCTCTTCCCCAGCAAGGTCCAGTGCCAAGCCCTGGTGCAGGGCAGCTGCTTCAGCCTCATGGATGCTGAGCAGAGCAGAGCAATTGTTTACAGTGCAGGCTTCTATGTCCTGGAATGACATTTGCCTTTTGTACAACAGTATCACATTGTTGATTCATGCCTGCTCCCCGGTTTGCTCTGAGCCCCGCATCTCTTTGCACAGCAGTGCTGTTGGTCTTGCCAGCTCAATCTGATGCACATCAGAGCTTTCCTGCTCTCACTGAGTCTCATCCTCTTGATTTCAGATCACATTTTTATTTAGTCAGGACTATTTTGAATTCCAGTTTCGCCTGTGAAAGTGCTCTTCAGGTCTCTCCAAACTCACTGCTGAAAATATTATTGAAGCTAAGATATATCATATATTTACTGTGTGCCCTCTCGGTGAAACCCACATCTCAAAACCCTTCTATATCTGTCTCACTGTGAGCCCTATCCTTGGCACTGCCAGGAACAGCAACAGCATGCAGTGAGCGCATGGCCATTCCCTTAGAGCAGGCATGTCCAACTCACAGCCCACAGGACACATGCAGCCCAGCCCAGCTCACACTGCGACCTCCCTCTGTCCCTCACCATCATGGAAACTGTGAGACAAAGCCCAGCCCCACGGTACCAACTGAACAGCAGTGCACTATGAATCCCATCTGGGCTGAAACGAGGACCTGAGGAGGTCACAGTGCTGTGCTAACTCAAGTGATGACAAATAATTTTTTTGGATTTGGATACACTGGCTAAACACAGCCCTTTGAACAGTGAAAAATATGCAGCCTTGCTTTCTGTTTTGATAAAGAATTTGAAAACTGGTTTCAAGACTGATGAAAAATTACCTTTATTTTGGGTGTCTTTGTGACTCCATTTTCAGTTGACATAATTTACCTGCAAATTTTCTAACAGAATGTACTGCATTGCAATCAGATATTCAACTCAAAGGAAAATGTGATCATGCCTCTTTACCAGACTTTCATAAAAACCTTTTTTTCATGCAGCCCAAGACAATCCCTCTTTGCTCAGTGCAGCCCAGGCAAGCCAAAAGCTTAGACACCCATGTCTTAAATCAACCCATCCTTATAGGTCAGTTTTCATTGAAACACACGTTCCCAAAAAGCAGTTTGTTGCTTTGCAGTACACAATAATCACGGTGTCAGAGGAGGAGAGCCTGCTGCAAAGGAGCCGAAATCTACTGTCTCATACTGGGAGCTGAATTTGTCACTTAATAGAAGGATCTCCGGATACTGATCCAGAAGGGAACAATGCTTTCAGAACTGCAATCTCTAGCCTTATTTGTGGGATGCATCACAGAGAGTTAGCTGCTCCTGAATTTAAAAGACACGTACACCAGCATCCTCCTGTTCAACTCTCCTAAAATGCTTTCTGGTGGAATTCTCCCCCGTTCCCTTGGTGAGTTCTCTGAATTCAGGAATGACGTAATTTCCTTGATCTTTGCCTAGTCCCCAGCCACCTAATCCAGCACTACTTGCACTTACCCACCAGACTTAAACCTCTGTGTGATACCTTTTACAGCCACCTTCTTTAAAGATAAACATATGTTACAATAATAGTAAAATAACACATTATTCTTTCAGGCCTTCACACTCGTTAACACTCATCTGGATCTATGCAACTTTAGTTTTATGTCTCTAATTTTATTTCCATATATTTTAAATCCATACATAGGTTTTGGGGTTTACATGCAAGTAACTAATGCCTTTCTTTATGAATCTTACTGCTGGTGCACTTAACTGTGTGCATAGTACAAAACACAAGAGCAAATATCTTCCTGGGCACCATATGTTAAAGGAATAAAGTCCTGACTTAATGCCTTTGCCTTGCAGAATAGCACAGTCTTAGGTCATAGAACAAATACACACAAGTTCCAGAGTATTGTTTAAGCCAGTTGCCGTAGCAATTTGAAATTTTGTTCTATCGATGACTTAAAAAGGCGATGAAACAGCATGCTGCTTTTTACTTCTCAATTTTTCTGTGTTGGCAACACTCAAGCCAGAGTCATTTACTTCTCAAAGAAAAGCGCAACAAAGCGTCTCAGGCCCTTGGAAATTACTTTCTCATATTCATAGAGAAGAGCAGGCTGCTTTTTGCTCTTGACTGATTCTTTAAGCTTCGCAGCTTCAAACCAGACCACTCTGCCTATTTTTAGAGCCATACAACTTCATAATTTCATGGAAAGGATAAGTGCTTTAATGGGTAGTCACAGAAGGGTATGGGATGTGTATTGAGTTTCCTGAGCAGCAAGCACCAAGGCTGTTAGGCACAGCGCAGGAAGGAATGTATCATCCATAATGGATGGAGTATCCCTGAGCACAGTTTTGCAGTGTGGAAAGATAGTGTGAGTTTATCAGGGACCAGCAGAGATGAAGGCCAGGAACCTGGGCAAGCTTGAGGGCAGATGAACTGTAGGGTA